TGGGTGATGGATGGTGTATTGGCCTTATATTCTTGGTCATATGAGGTGACTGATTTAGTAGGTGGTGTATCAACAACAACTCAAATGTCCCTTGGCTTTTTGTGGTTGTTTATTCAGCCCTAGTAGGGAACATAAAGGGGACAAGAATGGGGAATATCTTGGTTGATGTTGTGTTGGGATAATGAGGGATATTTGGCCTGGGGTTTATAGAAAAGGATAGAAGGTTTTATTTGTTTATTAAAAGGTTTAAAAGAAAGAAAATAACAACAAACAAAGGTTGTGGTTTACACACTCTTATTTTCGGCCAGGGCCTAAAATAGGAGTAGGAAAACTTTATTTTGAAAAGGAAATATTTTGGATGTTTAGGGAAGGTATGGAGAGTGTGGGCTCAGCCTAGGGTGGGTGTAGGACAACCATGGTGTTGGGTTGGGTTCTAAGACAGGAAAATGGAGAAGTTTCAACCCAATTAATGTCACCACACGTGGGCTTTATTCCCCTGATCTTTCTTTCCTTTGGCGGGCTACGGAGAGTCTTCGGGCATGCTCCCGAATATATATCAAATCTCGAGTGTTTAACTTGTGTAACTGGAGATGTCCATAGGGCACATTGCGATGGTCACTGCTGGGAAGAATTTTAGTTTTCTGTAAATGTAGTCATTTTCCATAAGTTAAAAGGGTTTTTTTGTCATATTTAATGCACGTAAACAGTGTGGTCTTGTCGGTGAGAACCCACCCTCATGCCCTAAGCTTCTGTTTTCTTTCTTCTTATTTAGAATTCATGGAAGTCAGGATAATTACTGTGAAGAATAAAAAATACAGGAGAAACTGGGATGGCTGTATGGAAATAAGAAAATGGTTTGTCATTCCCTTCCAGATGTTCTTGTATTTGAAAAGAGGACAGTCAAAATAATTCATGTTTCTTTTGGATTTTTCTTCTCGAGCCTTTCATTTTCTTTAAAACAACAACTTGTGTGGTTATTTGCATGCTGCTGTTTGCTTTTGACGTATTTCTTTTAGTCTAGTATATTGATTTATTTACCTTTTTTTGTCCTTGATCAACGGTTGAATTGTGTGTTTTACAGGATCCTAAATTTCAACCTGATCTTTCAAGCACCTATAAACCTGTGAAATGCAATATTGATTGCAGCTGCGACAGGGACAATGACCAATGCATTTATGAAAGGCAATATGCTGAGATGAGTTCTAGCAGCGGGGTGCTTGGCGAGGACATTATTTCATTTGGGAACCAAAGTGAGCTCAAACCTCAGCGAGCCACATTTGGTTGTGAAAATTTGGAAACTGGTGATCTTTACAGTCAACATGCTGATGGCATCATGGGGTTGGGTCGTGGAGACCTCAGTATAGTTGATCAACTAGTTGAGAAAAAAGTAATTACTGATTCATTCTCTTTGTGCTATGGTGGGATGGATATTGGTGGCGGTGCAATGGTTCTTGGTGGAATATCACCTCCTGCCGATATGGTCTTTACTCATTCAAATCCAACGCGGAGGTACATATTCGATGTAGTAGTATTATAACACGGACTGTTAGGCTCTCTCCTAACAATTACACTTTATCAATCTTATGCATTTACTCTAGTCTCGGGATGGCAACAGCCCATATTACAATATAGAGCTGAAGGGGATGTATGTTGCTGGGAAAAAGCTATCTATCAACCCACGGGTCTTTGATGGAAAGCATGGAACTGTCCTTGATAGCGGTACCACATACGCTTACCTACCAGAAGAAGCATTTAAAGCATTTAAGCATGCTGTAAGATGGATCTTACTATGACTTATGAGCTTATTTCTTGATTATTCTGTGACGCTTTCGGACATTGAAAACATGAATGATAATCTAAATTGTTTAATGAGTAGATTTTGTAAAATGAAATTTACATGTGAATATTTTGTTCAGATCTTAGTTATTACTCATAACGTCACTTTGCTGGGATGCCTAGTCCACTAGGTGACAGTTAAGGACAATTTATAAATGAGAATTGTACTACATTGATACCATTAATATAAGTATATCTCATAATGCAGAGTATATTCCAAGTTTAATACTTCATTCATTACAAAATTCTACAATTGACTGGAAACAATTATTATTAAAGGTGAAAGTGTGTGGTTGATTTTTTTCTGCAGAAACAAGATATATGGTATAAATCACACAATTTCATCCTTAGACAAGAAAGATGAATCTTTTCCTATGATTAACAAAAAAGAAAACGTGAAACTTTATTATGGGACGAATGGATTACTAAGTTTTTAAGGAAACTAAAGGAAGTTAATACTAAGTTTAATATTGTGCAGTTCAGTGTATAAGAAAACGCTGTTTAATGATACTCCACCTTTGTGATCCATTGTTTCTATGGTAAAATAATCACTTTTCGGAATATTAATAAAAAAAGTTGTAAACATCGAAGGTCGATTCAGGCGGTAGCGAAAAAAGTTTGGAACACCGGACAGGTCTATTCAGATCTGGGACTGACCAGAACCGATTAGGGATGGATCGTCTCGGATCTCAGGCGGAACAAGTAAGACTCTTGCAGTCTCACCTAAGCACCAGCCGGTGCCAATTCGTTGCCTTGGAAACACCAAGGTTCTTCCGGCGAAATCAGTTGAGTTGAGAAGCCATGGTGTGAGGTCTGGACCAACTGGACGCCTAGTTGGCTAGTTTCTGTCTAGTCGTCACCTAGGCAACACTTTGAGTACTTTATACACAGTAAATATTTATGATTGCCAAGTATACAGATACATAGTGTTAATATATATTTTTTGGAACTCTATTGCTCTATTTTGGCGCCCTCTTTTATGAGGTTTAGCATATGGTAATGGCTCAATATTTGGAAAAAAATAATGTTTTGATGTATTGATATTTACTAATATGGACTTCTATTTAGTGTCGCACAGTATTTGTGCAAATGCAGACCCAAACCACAATGACATTCTTTCTAAGTAGACAAACACGATTTTTTCCGGATGCTGAACTAATTATGTTTGTACTTCCAGGTCATGAATGAAGTTCGTTCACTGAAGAAGATTGATGGCCCAGATCCAAACTACAAGGATATATGTTTTTCTGGTGCTGGAAGGTCTGTTATATAGAATTCATTAGAAACGGGTACATGTGTGTGAAGATAGCTATGCTGTCTTTGTTCCAAAGTCTAAATATGCTGTTTTAAGCCTTGATGTGGTGAGTTTATATGAGGTGTAAGTCTCGTGGCAGTATGAGGCAAAAGCCTTTAATTAAACTTTATACGGCTATCTTTTATGTTTAGCTGAGTGATTTCTAACACAATATTATTTTATAAAAAAACAAGCCAAAAGATTACACTCCTAAGCCACAAGCTTCAAAAAGTGTTTTAGAAACACATGATCACACTTGCACAGCCTAAAATAATTATGCTGCTAACAATATTTAAATTGGGTCATGTTATTTTGAATCGTTATAGTCCATACAACAACAAACTCAGTAAAATCACACAAAAGTAAGGTCTGGTGAGGGTGTGTGGACGCAGCACATCTTACCCAGTTACCCCTACTATGAAGTAGAGAGGTTGTTTCCAAGAGATCATAAGCTCAGATAAAAAAGTATGAACAAAGAAACTACTGAAGTGCAAACAAAGACAAAGAAGCATACAAAATCACTCTTGGAATTAAACATAAAGTACCTAGCTAAGAAACATATAAGCTCACATACAAACTAAGGCCTGAAAACACACCAGAAAACAAAACTACAAACAAAAGCACTTACGTCTACCCAACTACTCTAATCCTGGATCTCCACGCATTCCTATGTAAGGCAATGCAATTACGCTTTTAATTTCTCTACTTTTCAGTGTGAATATAAAAAAGAGGTGTGATAAGCTTAAGCTATAAAGTTGTGTGAATATAAAATCCAAAGATCAATGCTGATCTCTATCAATGATTTTTTGATTTTTTATGGGACAAAGAGAATGATAATCAGGAAATAATTAAAAGATTACCATGGATTTAAGAATAACACTCCCTCCGTCCATAAATTTTCTTCCCACTTTCCTTATTAGTCCGTCCATACATTTTCTTCCCGTTTCCTTTTTTGCATACTTTCTATTGTAAAATGTCGTGATTACCCTCAAATCCACTTCTTTCCCAAATCTCCTGCTTCAGATGTAAGCTTCCTCTCTCTTTGAATGAAGTACCCGTCAGATCCTCTCTCTTTGAATGAAGTACTTGTCATATTTTCTGCTTCGTCCCCCAAATCTCTTTTGCCCAAATCCTCTTCTTCCCCCAAATTTCCTAATGAAGCATCTCGGCATCTGATGGTAGACCAAATTTCCAGATCTAAAGCTCCACTATTTTGAGACTGGCATAATTTCCAGAGCTTCATGCCAACGAGCCCAAATTCCCAGATCTAAAGACCATGAATGATTGTAGGCGAGCACGAGGTTGTTCCAGAACTTTGAAATCTGGGACCGTTGCTGTTAATTATGTGAACTAGCGCTGCCACTTCAGAACCTGGGATTGTTACCGTTGTTACCTTGCTTTCCTCGTCGCTGCCACCTTGCCTTGCCTTTCTCGCCAGTCGCTGCTTTGGCTTCCTCGCCCATTCGAGAATATTTTGCATAAAATATGGGAGTGGTGTAGAAAGGGGAATTTTAGTAAAGTCAACACAAATTTCATTTTTCCTTAATATCTGTGCCCTGTCAAACTGGGAAGTAAATTTATGAACAGAGGGAGTACAAGATCAACATAATAAGCCTTAAGCCTCGTATATACCACTTAGTCTTCTGAATCTACAACACCTAGGGTTAGCCCAATGGGTTCCAGAACCACGGGTCGAGCTGAGTATTATAAGTTCGGAGTCTAAATGGGTTTGTTCCTAAATAAGATGGGATGAGGTGGATCTTCCGTTTTGGAGAACCTGGTTGATTCCTAAACTTTTTAGAATAGATACACGTATCCGTTCTTAAAAACAATCATTTTTGGATTAAAATATTGAATACCCGAGTAACATTTTTAGAAATAAAACTATCCCACCTTGTATCAAAACTTAATGCTATCTGAAGAGTTGACATTATTTTTACGATTATGTAATCTTGACAACCATTGTCGGGCATTTGAAAATATGCACTTTCATTTATATTTTGTTTCATTTGGGAGTGTTGAGAAGTATTGCTATTGTGCTAATAATTGTGATTGTTTGCTTTGTTTTGTGACTTTGTGGACCTTAATAAGCATATACTCAACATTTTATTTTTGGAATATTTATGGTTAATTATTTTTTGATATTCAAGGAATTGTTACCCAACCTGACCCGGTTCAAACTGACTCGCACCCATACCTAACAACACCTCACTCATCAAATGTGTAAGCCACACACATCATGAAATATAAGCGTGTCATCAAATGACCCAACCATGGGTGGGGTACCAGTTGAGGCCCTATGCTTCAACCAGTTAAATAGACGGGTTTGATCATTGAAGTGAAATTTATCTGATGGCGTTGGACAAAACATTTGGCCATGTCCCCCGACAAAATGTATGGATGGGCTTCGGAATGAGACAAAATTAGCGGATCCGCCCAAATAAATACTCTGTATATTGATATATTTTTTATTAACTTTGTTAGTGATTTTAAATTAAAAGAATATTGTAATTTTGTGATATTAAAGAATAAGGAATTTTAATCTTCAAATAAGATAAATTTTATGAATTGATCAATTAAATGTTATATTAAAATCTATTGATGTGAAAGGGTGTGAATGTGTCATGTTATGAAATAGAAGTAATTGAAATGTGTATGTTACGATGAATGTGTGGGTACACTAGAATTGACAGAATAAGAAAGGCGATAATCCAAGAGAAAGTAGAAGTGGAATCTATCAAAGATCAGTTGTAAGAAGATCGACTGTGGTGGGGCTTGGACATACAAAGAAGACCTAATGGTGACCTAATGATGCAACAGTTAGAAGACAAGAGGGGGTGGATAAGTGAGTTTTGCAAAAGAGGAAGAGGGAGACCGAAAGAGATGTGGGAAGAGGTGATTATGAGCGAATCGGTCTTATATGAATTAGGGAAAGTGTGTGGTTAACTGGATATAGATAGAACTCATAGAAGGAAATTGCGAGAGAGCATCTTTATGAATGACCGAATGCGATTCTCTTAACACTGGGTTACTTGGGATAAGGCTTAGTGAGTTGTACTAGTAGTTGTTATTGATGTGATAAATTAATTATAAAATATTGTTGATTAATTATATTCTTTATTAGTTATTACAAATAGGCGAGTTTGCTCGCTCAGAAAATAAATAAAAATAGACGAGTTTGGACCGGTCTGGGTATGAAATAAAAAAGCAGGCAGGCCTTTGTCAAAATAACAAACTTGATCAATCTGGCATGTGCAAGTAATTTTTTCCCCAGGTCCAATTGGTCCCGGCCCAAACTGCCTAAGCCCTAAACTGCTCAGGCTCTGGCAATGAATCATTTGACACTTTAATGCTACCATGGTTTCATGCACACCTCAAATTAAGGAAAGCCTCACAAGCATTTTTTACCATTCTTTGTGCTACTATTGAATGCTCTACATTTCATTTTTCAGTGACATTTCCAAACTTCCAAAGGCATTTCCATCAATTGAGATGGCATTTAGCAATGGACAGAAACTATCACTTTCTCCTGAAAACTACTTGTTCAGGGTACGCATTTTTTTATCTTTTCGTGGCTCCTGATTATGCTTCTTTTTAAGTTTCCAAGTCCAAGTGTTTGTTTCTATATTAAGTTTTTTCTGATTTATTCAATCTTGGTTATGTAAAGCATTCAAAGGTTCGTGGTGCTTATTGCCTGGGGATTTTTCAGAATGGGAAGGATCCTACAACTCTTTTAGGAGGTATCTACTGATAAAGTTCAACCATTTTCATATGCCCAACTGGTTTCTTCTAATCCAGCTCAATTATGAGCCCAGAATGGCTTTCTTTTAACTTGAATTTATATAATAGGGATTGTCGTCCGCAACACACTAGTAACATATGATCGTGAAAATGAAAGGATTGGTTTTTGGAAAACTAATTGTTCTGAGCTATGGGACAGACTAGGTGTACCTAGCGCACCTCCACCTTTGCCTTCAGAATTGACTAACCAGAATTCAACTGCAAATATGGCCTTGCCTCCTGCTGAGATTCCAAGGAACATTACTTCAGGTATCTTTTAGACTCCTATGCTACTTTTCTCGATTCAAATATTAGTCTTTTTTTTCCTTCTCTGAGGTAAAACTGCATTCACTAAATTTAAAGTGATTTTCTGAAACTTGAATGTCACTTTTTTTTAAAAGTTTTGGCTTACATATTCCTTCTAATGAGTGAATTATTATTTTCCTCTTGGTTCATGTAGCCAGCCCCAAGTTACTTGGGATAAAGCTTTGTAGTAGTAGTAGTAGTTGTTTTATTTTTATATTAATTGGCTTTAGTTTGAAATAGAAATATAAAGAGAGTTGCCTCATGATCTTTTGTTTGGGCTTTGTGGACTATCAACAATATTTGAGTCTGTTAATATAAAGATATGTAGCTGTGTATTGAAATAATGTTCCTAGTGATGTGGGTGTGTCTTTGTTCTTGAGCTGCATGGAAGTGATGGAAGTCATGGAACTAAAGGAGTCTTTGTCATATTAATATATTACTTTTATTATTGGTATGAATATTATTTAGAAATATTATTATTAATTTTCTTTTATTAGTATTAGTAGTTGTTTGTTATGAGTACACTAGTGATCTATTTTAAATGATATTCATACTATCAATGTTATGGGTAGGTTAGGAGCACTCTAATACTTGTTCATTATGACTCTTGGGGTTAAGTATAAATATAGGATTTGTACTGATTGATTTTCCACAAATCAATTGGTTGGAGTAATAATCCTACAAGGCTAAGGGCATGGCCTATGCCTCATCATTCTCTGCTTAAGGTCAGAAGACTTTGTTCTTTCTCCAAGTTTATCCACCACATTTCTTCCATTCTTCTAATTCTTCTTTCAACCACGTCTTTCTATCCTATCCCTTAACTTTTTTTCCCCTCCATCCCTTAAAAGATACTCCGTAAAAAACAAAACAAAATTGTCCTTTTATGGATAAGAGGCAACAAGCACCAAATTTATGTGCCATTCAATCAAGGTTGTTAACCCATGAAAACAAGTATGTCATTTTTCCTCTTTGTCTTTCCGGCACCAATATCTCCATTGGCTGCTGTCGAGGTGTTGATATTTACTTTATGGTGTGTTTTTTAGAGAGATCGAAATGATATTGATTTTGGGTGTTAAGGGGACACTAGGACACTGAGGCTTCATGAGCGCATGGTGGTCCACATGGAGTGGAAGATGAGGATACTTTCTGGTGTGTTTTTTAGAGAGATCGAAATGATATTGATTTTGGGTGTTAAGGGGACACTAGGACACTGAGGCTTCATGAGCACATGGTGGTCCACATAGTGTGGGATTAGAGTATTAGACTCTCTGAGGTCGTTCTAGATTACCCAGCATTTCCCGCAAGGAAAGTCATTATTGGTCGTGTTTTGATAAAAAGAACTATAGGGAACAATTTAACTGCAAATCGAATTGCCACTGTTATATAAAATTATATATCTAAGTTCAATTTCATTTATTTGATATTTTGAGGTCATATACTGGGTTAGATTTATATTTTTTAATTTTCAATTTTTAGGCCGCATAAGATCATACAGAGTACATTTTGAATATGAAAAAATATATTTCAAATGTCTTGCTTAACCCCGCAAATGTACTCAATATCATTGTCACATTCCACTTGCACTGATAATTTGATACATATGTACTTAACTATAAAATGACAATATTATATCCAGTGTTATCGGTGGCGCAAACGGCGCATGTCAGAAATGTGCCATTGGCGTTTTGCCCTTCAATCGCCACAAATATGCATGTGGCGAAGTATCTTCTTGTGGCAACGGCATCACCATTCATCGCCATTTTTNATATTTTTTTGGGCACAGTTCCGTTGACACTGGCCAACGGTACGACTAGCGGTACCCCTAACCCACCCCCTAAACCCCCCACCCCAGCCCCACCCTAAGCCCCCCCTCCAAATGTCTGGCTATTACTACCTCCGTCCCAGAGTATTTGTCCACTTTCATTTTTACACACCATCCAATACACTTCTTTAATCCATTTTATCTTGTAATTTGTATATTAAAAAATTATAGAAATTATATATTAATAATCTATATGTTAAGACAAATCAAACAAGATCACACATGACTATATTTAGGCTTACACATTGAGAGAATTTGATGAGTCAAAGTGCTTAGATGAACAGTTCCAAAAGTCAAAAGTGGACGAATACTCCGGGACGAAGGGAGTATGCAATATTGCAATGCATAATAGCCACACATTTGGAGGGGATAAAAGGGGGGTCTAGGGTGGGGGTGCAAAGGTCGGACTGGGGTGGGGGTGGGGTGTTTAGGGAGGGGGTTAGGAGGGGTAGGAACCATCAATTTTACGAACGGAGCACCGGAGGAGCTCCAAATGAGCGAGTGTCATCCGTTAACATTGTATGCTAGTGTCAACAGAACCTTGTCGTACTTTTTTACATTGAATTAAGTTATGTTTGTAGATAAAAATGTTTTAGGTATTTAGGAATCAAGTTTTGAATTTTTCGTGACAGTAAAAAAGTCTTACATTTAGTGTCCTGTGGCGATGCCATATTTGGGCAATCGCTATATGATATTGGCCCATCTCCATGAATGTTGCCATGTGCCATGACAACTATGATTATATCTAATATCTTCATAATTTATGAACTAGAAAACAATGAAATATGAATATGCATTGTCATTAAACTAGGGGAAATTTCAAAGAATTGGAAACAAGGAATGTAACTAATCTTGCAACTGTTCTATAATTCTTGATCTTGCTCACTCCCTCTGTCTGATTGTGAACTTCCCCAATGTCCAGCAACTATCCAACTTCAGTCACTAAAACCATATTCTGGACTAATATTCCTTTCTTCCAAATATGTAAGTTGTGGAGATGTGGATTGAGGGGAGCCTTTGGGAATGCAATTTCCAACTTACTGCTTCATCTACTATTGAAAGAGAATCAGGGGGAAAAAATTACGAGCAAAAAGTTGAGGTCAAAGCGTCAAACTCAAAAAAGCCTTGGTTCATATACCAACAGTATAAAGATGAATCCAATACGAAGTGTAATTATCCGGATCTACTGCACAATATGTTCGATAGGTGGGTTATTAATTTAGCACTAAAGCTGTTCGTGCACATGTAGACATCAGAAGAAGTTATAGGCCCTCTGCTCTTCCAACTGGAGTGGTTGAGTTGGGTATTTGCAGGTGAATCATATAGAAGCATCTGTTTGATATATATGCAGAATGGTACTTCAGTCATGTTGAGTTTAGTGAAGTAAAACACTGTCAAGTTACCTGTCTGACTTGGTCTAAGAAAGCTAAAAGTGTCATTTATGTGTGTGTATATTTGTTTAGCATTTTGACATCATCATAGTTGTCTATCGGAATTTTATGCCGACAAAGTAGGGGTTTGATTCTCCGTATATTTTGCTTGTTATTGGTGGCCTTGACCGGTCAGCCTCGTCATTAGACAATGTTTTGTTTACCCTGCTACTGCTTTTTTTTGTGTTTGTAATTGATATAAAACACTCCTCAGGTTGCTGAAAAATACTGATACTTGCAAATATTTAATTATTCACATCATTAAATATGTTTGTGCTAGTGTTAGAATGGAAGATAATGAAGTGATCTGAATGCACGTGATATCTTAATCTGCAGAGGAAATAAAAGTAGGCTATCTGACGGTATACTTGTCACTTAGCAAAAACTATTCAGATCTGAAGCCCAAAATTTCAGAATTTAACAAATTGGTTGCCCAGGAGTTGCGTATTAAAATTTCTCAGGTACATTGATGTTGAAATAGGAATTGCGACATGTCTGGATAGATTGGTCTGTCTAATCGTGTTGGGTTTTTTTCACTGTATGCTGTTCTTCTATTGCAGGTCCAGTTATTAAACTTTTCATCAAGCGGAAATGAATCCCTAATTAAATTGGCTATTTTTCCTATGAAACCTGCATATTACATGCAAAATGCCACTGCTATGGTCAGTTTCTCTTCTTGTAATTTATACTTATCTGTTTTTTAAAGGGGGTTTGCAGAGATATCTTGTTATTGTTGCCAGGAAATTGTCTCAAGCTTAGCTGAACATCGTTTACACCTTCCTGAGAAATTTGGAAGTTATAAATTGCTGGAGTGGAGTGTTGAGACCCCTCAAAAACGGTAAAATTGCTGATTCCATTATCTGCTTCTTAACTACTTCGGTTCATGTCCATACTACCCTCATCCATGCCACGAAGTCTTAGAATGCCTATGTTGCATTTGATATTTTATTCAATTATTTATGTTAAGTGATTCATAAATGAATAATGCTAACTTGCTAAGTTCATATCAACCTGTGTCCTCAGTCAACACTAATTGGGCAGATGTGAAGTATCAATGTCAACCAATTAGTAGCTTAACATTTACTAATAGCAACATTCCAGATTTCCAGGTCCAAAAGGCATACCAGACAGTACATAAGCACTTTTTGGTTTATTGTATATTTTTTGAAGTCTTATTCCCATGTGCAACATGGATGGGATCTCCTCTTCATTGGATGTTGCATTTCAAACCATAAGAATTCACTAGAAGCAGAAATGTGGACTATATGGAAACAATGGGACTATGGGAGTGAGCCTGAAGAGCAGCACCACGTGAACCTGCCCCCTCATTTCGCCGATTAGCTATAGTGGTCACTGTAGCAAATCGGCGAAATGAGGGGGTTAGGGGGTAGACCATCAATTTTACCAACAGAACAGGGCTCTGGTCATGCTATGACATTCAAAGTGAATGTCACATGAACCATGCTGCGGTTTCTAATGCATTTGTAGTATGTATGTATGTATGTGATTTGGTTGTATTGCAATTGTGCAGGACATGGTGGCAACAAAATGTGATGGCTATAGTTGTCGCATTAGCAGTTGTAGCGATACTTGGATTATCAGCTTCGTTGGGATGGTTCATTTGGACGCGTAGACAATCACCCATGTCGTATAAGCCTGTAAATATTGCAAGCCCTGAACAAGAACTCCAACCGCTATGAATATATATATATATATATATATATAGTCTGTACCAGAAAATCGGGAACTGTATTTCTTTCTTTTTAAACCCGAGTTACAGGTTCATGGAAGTTTTGTCTTTATAGTGGTCTCCAGATATGTAAGTGAATGTTTCATGATATCTTTAAACTGAAAACCATTTCAATTATGTTTGATCCTTGTGCTGTTATTTCATTTGCACTATGTTTGGTTCAAGTAATTTGGAAAGAAAAGAAAAATAAAAGTTTTTCCTCATTTTCTTCACCAAAACGAGAGAAATTTGGTTTTTCCACATCTTAATACATTTTGTCTTCTTATTTTTTTCTTTATATTCAAACAAGAGCTATTTTCTTTCTCGTTTTCCTTTCAAATTTCTTGAACCAAATAGTGTTGGTCTCTTGAGGACTAGGTGGGTCCATAACTTGCGTTTGATATATATTTATGAGTAAATTCTTTAATTGGTCCTTTATAACAGGGGGTTTCCCTATTTAGTTCTCTATTATCAAATATTATTCAAGTGGTCCTTCTTTTATGGGTACCTTTCTACAAATAGTCCTTTTTTATCTTCTATCATGTTGGTGTTAATTTGAAGGCTAAAAGTGTAATTTCACAATGATAATATATCTTTTTTGTCATACACAATTCCAAAGGCTGTTCTGTTTGCGTCGTTTGTGAATTACAGTCGCTTTTTACGACAACTATAGTCTACAAATGTGATCTTTCGTCAGAATCCTAGCCCACAATCATAGTCATTTTTTTTGTGTTATCCACTTAACTAATATCAGAACACATCACTAGACATAATGTTAACGTCAAATTATACTTTTAGCCTTTAAATTAACACCAACATGGCAGAAGATCAAAAAAAGGATCATTTGTGGAAAAGTACCCTTAAAAAAGGACTACGGGGGTAATATTTGATAATAGAGGACTAAATATGGAAACCCCCCTGTTATAAAGGACCAATTATGGAATTTACTCTATATTTATAGAGGAATTTAAACCAAATAATGGTTTGTTATTGATATATAATAATAATAATAACAATAATAATAATAATAATAATAATAATATAAAAACAACAAGAATATTAATAAGAATAATAATAATTAAAATTATAAGATTATTTAAGACTTTGGTGTGTGTAGTTTTAAATAAAGTAATGTGATTTAATCAAATAGTAATTATTATTTAATCCTTGAAAATATATTAATAAGTTTTTTTTTTATATTTTTTCATGATTTGATATTATTGGATTTGATCGGGTCTGTTTGGATCTGGTCTGATCTGATTGGAACATATCTAATTCGATTGGATTTGATGTGATTTGATTAAATATAATCTGATTGAATCTGATCTGATTGGATCTAATCTGATTTTAATAAGAATAAACAGAAAAAATAAGTCTCGTGGAACGGACCCTTAGGACATGTTCTCCTCAATTTATTTTTTACTTATTATTTATTCTTATTGGAATCAGATCAGATTGGCCCAGATCAGATTAGGAATAACTTTAAATATAGCTACATTATCATCAGATCAGATCGGATGAAATCAGAACTTATTCCTGATTTATGATTAGATCAGAACTAATCACATGAGATGAAGAGAACATGACCTTAAGCTCTATACTTTTCATAAAGTATGTGCTTTCTTCCTGAATTTTCGAAAGTGCATCATTAATCTGATACGCTCTATGTCGTAGTATATTCGTCTAGTTTGACTTTTTCTAGTCAAACAGAACAAACTAAATCATTTATCACTCTCAATTTATAATGTACATAAATAGAATAATTTAAAATTTTATAAAAAAATTCAACAAGATGAATCAAATTAAATGATTTTTATACCAATATACATTACAATGTTTATTTAATTTAAGTGCCATGTTTGTCTAGTCTGACTCAAAAGAGTCAAACTGGACGTATGTAATATTTTAAAAAATGTTTTATGGTTCAAACTCTAAAATTTCTCTTAGTTGAACAACGTCTTTAACAAAACTTTGATAACAAGAAAAAATAAACTTGGAAGACATAGTTGCTAGAGTTTGGTGAAGACGTCATTGATGAATTTATTTTTTTTCAAAACACTATATATGAAGGTTTTTCAAGAATTTATCTTTGTGGAGTAGCATCTTTAACAAAACTTGAAAAAAACTCATAAATTGGATCTTCATTAAACTCTAACAACCGTGTCAACTAGGCGTGAGAGACAGCAAACAATTTGTTTGCTGTTACGTCCTCCAAATTATTTTTTCTCTTTAGTCAAGTTTGGTTCAACTAGGACCAATAGTGCAGTTTTGAAAGTGTGATAGAAAGCACACTTTATAAAAAACTAATGGTGCAGTTTTGAGAGTTTAGGGAGAAAAAGATGCACTTTATGAAGAGTCCGGAAAAGGGACATGCATTTTACGAAAAATTCGAGTTAAAGTACGCTTTTTATGAGTTGTAAAAGAACTAATGACACACTTTTACAAGTTTAGAAGAAAAATATGGACTTCAATGCTTCATAAAGAGTTCCTGGAAAACAAATGTGATAAAAAACTTTTAAAAAGTGTAACGGATAAATCATAAAAGTTTGCAAGTTGTCCCAACTGTTTTCACCAGTCACACCATTTATGGGTCGATGGTCTTAATAATAAATACCCTCTTATAAATTGACCGCCTTAATTAAGAAAATATATGTTCTTCAATTATCATAATCTCCTTTCTCTCCTCCATTCCGTGTTTCTCTTCTACCAAGTTCACATATAAACGTAAAACCTTAATATGGAGTTTTGATGAATTGCACCGGAGTTCCAATCTCCGTCCGGCAATACTTTTGTCCTAATGAAGATGGTCATAAAGATGGTTCCTTTGGCCGAATCTGTTTTGGTTGCCGTGTTGAATGTGATAATTGCTTTTTAAGCATTTCACTCTCTATTTATCATGGCAATCAAGACAGATTCTGTTGAAGAAATTATTTTACAAAAGACTTTGAGAGCATTAGTAATGGTGATGCGAAAATAGATTAATGTCACACGCTGACGTGTGATATTTCAACCAATGAAAAATAGTTTAGTCACCGAGTGACAAATTGTTGGTGATTTTAGTGTTATCGGTTTATTTTGTGCAATTGGATTTACTTAGATCGGACAAGAATTTTAATAGACGTTGTCAAATGAGTTAGGAGGCGCGGAGTGCGCGCTCGTTCAACGATATTACAAATTCACTGCGGGGGTCCGGGGGTGGCAGTCCCCGGGATAGCGGGGGTCCGAGGGTGGCAGCCCTGGGTGGCGGGGTCCAAGGGGCAGAGCCCCTGGCCGGGGTCGAAGGGAAATTTTTTATTTCGGACGTTATTTCTTTATGAAAAGCCTTAAGATTTTCGTGATCAGAGTACAAAAGAGTAAAGGACTAGAACTAGTTGATAAACGTCAAAATATACTCTAAAAACGAAGGAGACTCTTCGTTCAAACTCGCGCCTATCTTCTTCCCGCGCGATTGTATGCATATGTCTACGCGAAGGATCATGTCTGATCATCGAAATTTTAAACTCTATAAAATAGAGTCTCGTGGTATGGATTGAGGGACATATTTTCCAGTGCTTGTTCTTAATTAACATCTTATCCGATTGAAGTATTTCGAATACCCCGAAATAACTTTGATCTATAAGCGTTTCGTACGCGATTCGTTATACTATCGAGTTCTTCTTTAACACTGCTTCGCAGTGTTCTTCCTTAACAAATTCCAACACAAATGAGTGGAGCGACATGCCCTACAGTCGCAAGTCTTACGATCACTACTTTTTTCACTTTTTTGCATGATTAAAAATAATTTTACCGGCCAAATAGCTCCAGTGCCCTCTGTGGTTTGGAAAATTGGCACCATATGGGGCATTTGTGTCCATTTTTTCTTTTTCATTTATTATTTGTGTTTTCCTTTTTTTAAATATTTTTTTATCTCTTTTTCCTTTTCCTAGATTTTTTTCTAATTTATTTTCAATTTTTTATAATGTTTTAAAAATTTTAAAATTTTTTGTGTTTGAAATAAAAATGAAAATAAAAAAAATTAACATACATTGCATCTTTTTGAAATTAAACATTTTCACTTTTTGTTACGTACTTATTTGGAAAGTTCAAAGAGAAAAACCTAGAATAAAAAAATAAAAATATGGAAAAATAAAATGAAAAATAAAAATACACAAAAAAAGTCTGATACAAAAAATAGACAAGCCTAAAAAAGTCCTTAGAATTAAGATGTTCGAAAAAAATATTCATTTTTATTTTTGTATTATTTTGTTTCTTATTTTATTCCTCATTTTTTGAAATTCTCAAAAAAAAAAGTTTAATTTTTTCAGAAAAAACAAAAATTGTTGATTTGAGAAGTACATATACATTATATGTTAATTTTTTCAAACAAAAACAACTTTAAATTTTATGAACATTATAAAAATAATTTTTAAAATACCTTTATTAATAAAAGAAAAACGTAAAGGAAAAAATGGAAAAAACAAAAAAAAAAGCGAGAAATAAATATCAGCACCGATACCTGTGTGGTTTAGTAAATATGCACCAATGTCCCCCTTCTTCGCCGGAAAAATGGCCAGAAAATGATCAGAAGGAGCACGGGTGCAGCATTTTGAAACCACAACGACTATAGAAATAAGTTTTGAAAACAGAGGGGGTTTTGGTGCCTATTTTGCAAACCACGGGGGTACTGGCGCTATTTGGCCTTATTTTATCTATTTATTTTATACACAAAAATATTTCTATTCACTCAAAAAATTACATTTTTTATATTTTTTAATTACTAAGATTTGTTTTTCTTATCTACTCCGTATTTTTGTTACCCCTCCTCAAGTTAGATTACAATTTTAGAATTGAGATCCAAACTCCTTATTCTTTTAAAATACTTTTATTTAAAAGTTAGTAAAAGAATAAAAAATAAAACTATAAAATTATAAAATTACATCAAAAGTTCTACAAAAATAAGAGGTGACGAAAAGTTTTATATTTTCAAATAATCAATGAAAATATATAAATAAACAAAAATTATCAATAGGTAAAATAAATAATTGTAATATGTTGTGGAACGAATGAAATAAAAAATAGTTCTACTAGCTTACAAAAAAACATTTTCTTTTTCAAAAACAATTAAAAAGCAAAAAAAGAGGGCACGTGCGCCTCGCGCAAGCCTCACATACCGTGAAGAAACGGTAACTCCCCGCGAGGCAAATGAAGATTTTGTCCAACGTGGCATGTCGTGACAAGCGGATGGAA